TTTTTGCAAGTGTTTTAGCTGAAGGGATCTTAGGAGATGGGATGAAATGCACTTGTTTGGAAAACAAATCAGTTACTTCCCATATAACTGTGCTCCCCCCACTATCCAGCAGGTCTACAATAAAATCCATGGATATCTCTTTCCAAAGGGCATTCGGCCTGGCTACACTCTGAAGTAGACCAGATGCCTTCCCCGGAGGTCTCTTAGCTGAGGCACACACTGGGCAGCTGGCTACATATGCCTCTATGTCCTTTTTGAGTGCGGGCCACCAGAATTGTCTTTTAACAAGATGTAGGGTTTTGACGAATCCAAAGTGTCCCACCACCTTGGCGTCATGAGCGTGCTGCAACACTGATGCTCTCAAACTGGCAGAAACATACAAGTATACATTCATTTGAGTGGGTTTGAAACCACTCGTCAGTTTTCAGAGCTTCTTGTAGTTTCTGAAGCAAATCGCCCGATAGGGCTGGATCGTCTCTCGCCTGCTCTCTGGTAGTCACTGGTGCCGCTAGTTGGGTCGAAGGGATGATCGGGCGAACCACTTCCTCCTTAGTACTGTTGTATTGAGGCAATCTGGAAAGTGCATCCGCCATGAAGTTCTTCCCACCAGGAAGGTAGCGTAGAGTGAAATCAAAGCGTTTGAAGTGCTGAGCCCAGCGAACTTGCTTTGGTGACACCTTACGCGGTGTTTTCAAAGCCTCCAGGTTTTTATGGTCAGTCCACACTTCAAAAGGGTGCTTAGCTCCTTCAAGAAATTGTCTCCATGTTAACACTGCCCAGTGTACTGAAAAGGCTTCCTTCTTCCATATGGCCCATCTCCTTTCGGTCACCGACAATTTACGGGAGGTATAGGCACAGGGCTGTAATTTCCCTTCTGCATTCTTTTGCAGAAGTACTGCTCCTCCTGCTACGTCGCTAGTGTCAGCTTGTACAACAAAAGGCTCTTCCATGTCCGGATGTTTAAGGACTGGTTCAGCAGCAAACAACCATTTCAGCTTTTCGAATGCCACCTGACAGTCCATAGTCCATTCAAGGGCCCGGGAGGGCTTCGGTTTTACTTCACCTTTTGTTTTCAGAAGATTTGTTATCGGTAGCGCGATTTTAGCGAACAAGGGGATGAACTGTCTATAGAAGTTAGCAAATCCCAGGAAGCTCTGTAGTTGTTTGCGGGTATGTGGTGCGGCCATTCCAACACTGCCCGGAATTTTCCAGGATCCATCTCTATTCCCTCATGCAATATGCGATATCCAAGATAGTCAATTTTGCTTTGGTGGAATTCGCACTTGGAGAGCTTGGCATACAGTTCAGCAGCCCTGAGTTTTTTCAGGACAGTCCTCACCAATTTCACATGGTCGTCCATGTTCTCAGAGTAGATAAGAATGTCATCCAAATAGACCAGCACCCCCTTATACAGGTGCTCATGCAGCACTTCGTTGATCAATTGCATGAACACAGCAGGGGCTCCTTGTAGTCCAAAAGGGAGCACTCGAAACTGGAAATATCCCAGTGGACAGTTAAATGCTGTTTCCATTCATCCCCTCCCTTGATTCGCACTCTATAGTATGCCTCTCATAAATCAAGTTTGGTGAAGATTTTCCCCTTGCCTAGGTGGGCTAGCATGTCTTTCATGAGCGGCAGGGGGTAGACATTTTCCATGCAAATGGCGTTCAGGTTCCTATAATCAACTACCAAACAAAAGGAGCCATCTTTCTTTTTCTGGAACAGTACCAGTGCTGCCACCCTTGGCCTGGCTGGTTGGATAAAACTCCGTTCTAGGTTTTTGTCAACGAACTTTCGTAATTCCCCCAGTTCTCGAGGGGTCATGGGGTAGATTTTTGGTTTAGGGAGCTTTACCTCGGAGAGTATTTCAATGGTACAGTCCGTGGCTCTGTGGGGGGGCAGCACATCTGAGGCCTTTTCATTGAAAACCTCCCAGAGATCCCATACTCCTTTGGAATCTTCTCCTCCCCCTCAATGTGGTCTATTGCCATCTCCGCCACTTCGTTTTCCACTCTGTCCTCTAGGGAGGTTCTTCCCTCTCTAGTCCTGATTTTCTAGCGTGAATGCGCAAAACCCCCGTCTTCCAGTTAACATGCGGGTTCCATCTACGGAGCCAGGGCAGTCCAAGTATGAGGGGTCGCTCCATGCCAGGGGCCACAATAAAGCTGAGAGTCTCTAAGTGACCCCCCAATTGCATCTCAATGGGTTTGGTCACAAAACTGGCTGGGCCCCCTCCTGCTAGATCCATCTAGCTGACAGAAAGCAATGGGCCTTTTTAACGTTTTTAGCCTCAAGCCCATCTTCTCCACCACTTTCGGGCTGATTATGCACCTAGTGCATGCAGAGTCTAATAGGGCTAACATCTGCGCATGTGCCCCTGTGGACGGCATCCTTATTTCTACGGGAATGAGCATGGGGCCCCCAGTGTGACTCACCAGGTCATTGGAGTCGGAATCGGAGTCCATCCTGCTGTCGTCCGCGGTGGTCAGAGTTCCCAACTCACCCTGGTTTCGGGGAGCGAACTTAATGACTTCCCCTTTTAGAGCAGTTTTGTGGGCTTTTGCGGGCGCTTTGTCAGCCTTCTTTGCCCCTGAACCAGTAGGTTTTGGCACTGGCTTGGAGAAACATTCTGCGGCCCGGTGACCTTCCTTTCCACATTTGAAGCACGTGAAGGGCTTCGGCTTGGGTTTGAATTCTGCTTTCCCTGCGGCCGTCTTTGGTGTCCCTTTGCGGTAGTGGGAGGATGACGGATCACTTGGGCGGCCCCCACGGAGTTGGCTTCGGGTCAGATCAATCTCCCTGTCCTCCGCTACTATGTACCAGCTCTGCAGATCTTCGGGGGGCCCCCATGCTCTACAGTCTTTGTAGACGTCTTCATTCAATCCACCTTTATAGCTCTCCAGTAGGGCCACTTCTGACCACCCTGTCATGAAAGGTGCCAGCTTGCGAAACTTTTGGGTGTATTCTGACACCGATCTCCGGCCCTGCTGGATGCCCTTCATTTGGAGTCTAGCCTTCCATTCAGCTAGGTGGTCCTCAACTGCCTTCTAAGAGCCCCCATGAATAGGTTGTAATTTCTCAGCAAGGGGGAGTTCTTATTGTGGAGGACCACCATCCATTCAGCTGCCATCCCCTCTAGGGCATTCGTGATGCATCTCACTCGTGCCGCATCCGATAAGTAGTCCTCCCCCTAGTCCTGCATGTAGTTCCACACTTGGGTCAGGAAAAGCCCCAAGGTCTTCGGATTTCCTCCATACTTGTCGGTTAGGGAGGGAATTTTGGGGTTCTTTTGTCTCCGAGATGGAGCCTGCAATGCTGGGGCCCCCTGGACTGCTGATTCCCTTGCTTGGGTCCCAGAAGCCTGAGATGTTCCCTCCCCAGCTTCTTCTTTCTCTCCCCCACAAGCAGCCTCCTCTGGATCCACCCTGGGGTAGTCTCCTCCCTTCCCCACAGGGAATACATACGATTCATGGCTTTTACGGCTTTCTTCGGCATCGCTGAGAAGTTGCCTAGCCTGAGCAATCATGAGGCGCTCCTTTTGCTCTTGCATCCATACAGCCTCTCCCTTTTGGGGTCTGGAGCTGATTATTCCTTGGGGGGTCCTCTCCAGGTCCGGCAACCTCCCTACTCCCCTCGACCATCTGGCTTCCTCTGGCTCTTCTCTCAACTGTAATTTTTCCATCCACTCCGTGGCTTCTCCCTCCGGTTGAAGTAAAGTCATCGTAGAGCCAGATGCCCCCATCTGATCTTGATCACTCTCTTGATCAGACATCTTTTGGTTTCAGCTTCCTCGGTAGTTATCCGGGATGGCTGGGAAACTGAGATTCTGCTTAATGTCAGGTATGCTTCCTTCAAAATTCAAGAAAGAATGACCCCAATTCCATTGTTTATAGAGAAAGGTACTTTTATTGAAAATTGAAGTGATTGCAACCAAGGAAAAGCAGAATCTGAGGCAAAAGCGCGAAAATTACAGATAGAAAGCATCCCCTCCCACTGTCCAACGTAAATCAGCCAATCCAAAGGTCTCCCAGGGGTCAGGTGGAAGCATACGTCTGGCAGTGTCATCAATCAGGAATGCCACGACCGTTGATCCAATAGCAGCTTCAAAGATGCAGCACTATAGCTTAAGATTCACTTTCATTTCTTCTCCTCCAGCACACTTCCACCCCCATGCTAGCTCCCCCTCCCCCCGCTACCATGGCAGCCAAAGCAGTAAAAGGCGGAGGCTGACACCTGAGCTATATCTTTCAAAGATCCTGGAGCACAGGGGAACCATCAGAAGACTGGAAAGAGCTGACATAGTTTCTTCAAAAAAAAGAGGGGGGGATTGATCTAGGAAACTACAATCCTATCAGTCTGACATCAATACACTTTATACAATACACTCTAAGAAGATCCTGCAAAAGATAATCAGGTAATGAATCTGTGTTCAATCTATTCTCCAAACCACTTGAAGATAGGACAAGAAGCTGGAGCTTTTAAAGATGAGATTGGACATCCATTTGTCTGAAATAGTTTAGGTCCCTGCTTAATCAGGAAGTTGGACTAGAAGATATCCAAGGTCTCTTCCAACTCTATTATTCTGTTAGATGTATAATCATTCTGTCTTAGTCTGCTTAGAATTAGTACAGCTTCCAATTCATTATAATCTACATCATATAAAAAAAAATCAACCAATATTATATGGAACACTTCAGGAAATCAATAACGCCCCAATTCTTGTTGTCAAATTTACATGGTACATTACCCTGCTTATGCATCAGATGTTGCCATGGGAAAAGCAAAGGGAAAGCCATGCAATCCTGCACTATAGGCATTACAGAGGAATGGTTTGAACAAATGACTTGACTGATACGCATCTTTCCCAAGCCAGCTTTCACTGTGTGTAGTTATAGGAGGATCTTAGGGTCTTTTAGTTTTCTCACAGCCAGTAAGTTGGGGGTGCTTGTGTAGATCTGATGTTTTTCGTGCCATGTAAATTGTTGCTCTTCCTTTTACAGCAGGGAGAAGAGACTAGCAGTTCTGTTCCAGCAAGGTCACTGCCTTTCCCTGCTGTGGCAGCTCTTCAATCTGGATGTAGCCAGAAGTAGGAAAACGTTCACCCGTTTGGCAGCCCTCATGCAGGTGAACTGTGCAGAAGAGTCTCAAGATGAATCTCAGGTATACGTAGATAGCTTTCTTTTCTGTCCTTGCAGACTATCCCCATTCTTGTCTTGTTCCTTCTCTATACTAGAGAGAAAACTGGTATCAAATGATACCTGACAATTCATGCTGTAGGTAATTTTGTTTGGATTAGCACTCTCATGGTTTGATTAATTGTTCTTTGGGTACTCTGTCCAATTTGATGTATTCACAATGATGATAATTAAAAATCATACCTTTAATGCAGAGGTCAAGTGCAAGGATTCTTGTGAACATTAATGACTTTAATACTGAAACAGGACTTGGGTACTATCTAAACTACTGTAAGTAATGGAAATAAGCAGTTTAAATTCAAATACATATAGTAACTTCACTGGTTTGCTGTGAATGAAGTTACTGCACTATTAATTAATGCTTGGTTTTCTCATTATCTTACATTCTAACATTAATTTACTGCCATATATTTATTACTTAAGTTAAAAAGTCTTAGCTTATTTTTTAAATAAAATTTTAAATAAAAAGAAACATAGTATAAAGAAAAATAAGAAAAAGAAATATAGGAAGAAGCAGCCACAATAGAATTAAACTCTCACTTCACAACTTTAGTAAAAAGGCAGTAATGTTGATATCATCCAAATATATATTGGAAGAAGGTGCCATGGTTATATTCCCTAATGTTCAATGCTTTGTTTGCTCTATCATCTGAATGTATTATATAAGACAAAGGACATTAAGACCATTAATACAATCTCATACTGTAAGTGGGTTCCTGTGGGGACAGTGGGGTTTTTAAGTTTTCTTGAAAATTCAACCATTTAAGACAAATTAACAAGATACTAGAATTTACAGAAACAAAAAAACACTGAAAAGTCCAGATATTCTCATTTTTAGTATCAAAGATCTTCCTGAACTATTATTACCAATTTTGGTCTTCAAATTGAAAAAGTTTGAGGAAAGATCAAGATAGGTCCTGCAAGTTTCTGACTAAACCAATACTAGATTCTTTCTACTAAAATGTTTTTAATAGGCACCAAAATCATTTGTGCCTTTATTTGTAATGTCATAGATAATCTCTTCCTATATGGATTTCTCCCTCTGCTATCAAATGATGGGTTGCCAACATGAATGGATGAAGTATGAGTTAATGGCCATCAAACGTAGTTCTCATCTTCAAGTTGTTGGAGGAGGGTTACTGACAATTGCTAAACTAGCATCATCATTGGCTTACATGAAGCTTTGTTTGGGGAACATGCCTTTAGCCATCCAACTGGGTAAGTTAGCTTGACAGTTTCTAATGCAGCAACTCTTGGGCTCAAAAGGTAGGCAGATATTTTTGGACTGCTTTTTTTTTTTTTAGGTTATCGTGCACACGAGTTATATGAGCAGCTGAAGAGGCCTAACCTTGATGCTACTGTGCTCCATGATATTTTCAAAGCTCTTTATCTTAGCACCAGGTACTTGGTTGTATGTTTATTTATTTTTTTTACAAAAAATGTGGCTTTCAGAATAACAGAGTTGGATGGGAACTTGGAGGTCATCTAATCCAGTGGTCCCCAACCTTTTTTGGCTTGGCAGCCTGGCGAGGGGAGAGGGGATAGTTCCCTGTGAGTGGTAGGTGGGTGTACGCAAGTGTGCACGCTCCATTTGTGCAAGTGGCGGGTGTGTGCACCTACTACTCCCACAAAGGGAGCTTCATACATGAGTGCACTGGTCGCCGCTTCAGCAAGGGAGCTTCATGCATGAGCTTGCCCGCTGGTTTTGGTTTTAATGATAATTGGATCTAAACTGAATTAAATAAAGCCAAGGTAGTCCAAGATTGCATCAACAGAGGGATAGTATCAAGATTACGTTAAGAAACACTTTATACTGCGCTGGTGAGTCTGCACTTGGAATACAGCATTCAGTTCTAATCAGCATAATACAAAAAAAGAATCACAATACAAAAAAAGAAGCAATGGACAGAAGCTTGTTAAAGAGAGAGCCAGTCTAGAACTAAGGAGACTAGGAGTGACATAACAATGTTCCAATATTTAAGGGGCTGCCACAAGGAAGAGGGTGTCAACCTGTTCTCCAAAGAACCTGAAGGCAGAACAAGAAGCAATGCATGGAAACTAATCAAGGAGAAAATCAACCTAGAACTAAGGAGAAACTTTGTGACAGTGAGAATAATTAATCAATGGAACAATTTGCTTCAAGAAGTTGTGGGAGATTTTAAAGAAGAGATTGGACAACCATTTGTCTGTTTTTCTGAGAAATGTTCCTGACAGTGAGAACAATTAATCAATGGAATATCTTGCTATCCAGAGTTGTTTGTGCTCTCATCACTGGATGTTTTCAGAAAAGATTGGACAACCATTTGACCAGGATAATATAAGGTCTCTTTCCTTAAGCAGGGGCTTGGACTAGAAGACCTCCAAGATTTCTTGCAGCACTATGCTATGACTTCTGGAAACAGAAATTAACCATATAGATTGGATCCATATAAGTTGATAAATTTAAATTCAGTTTGTGAGTCTGTAGTCTAGTGAATTCTGTAAATATTATATTAACAGAATAACAGAGTTGGAATGGATCTCAGAGATCTTCTAGTCCAACCCCCTGCTCAAGCATTAGTATCCTTTTTCTAATTCTAGAGCAGGACCTGGTTAGATAACCATATGTGCCCCCCCCTCTTTTCTCCTTCATAATTCTTGCTGCAAATCCAAAATTGAGATTTGTTTTGTGGGAAAGGTGCACAAGGCCTTTTGCACCTCAAAGTCACCAAAGTCACAATTGCCCAAAAGATACTCATGCAATGAGAAATCAAGGTTAAACCCATGTGAATGAAATAATACAATCATTGGTCCATCCTAATTTTAAAAAACCCAAATACATACTTCTGATGTGGCCTTGAAATTTTGTCTGCTTTGGTCCCAAGTAAGGGCAGCATTTTGCCCATCTCCCACTGATAATCTCCCAATAAATGATAGGGTTTCTGAAAAGTAATTTATAAATAACTTAACAAGCAACAAGACATAGTTTTTACTTGACTGACATAGTAGAAGTAGCAGTCTATTTACAGAATATAGGATAATTGAGCTGAAGGGACCTTGAAGGTCTTTTAGTCTAACCCTCTGCAGGAAACCCTATATCCATTCTGGAGAAATGGCTGTCCTAATCTCTCTTTAAATACTTCCTGTGATGGAGCACCCACAACTTCTGGAGGCAAGCCAGTTGACTGATTAACAGGAAATTTCTCCTTAATTCTTGGTAGGACCACTCTTTGATAAACTTCCTTCTGTTACTTCTTGTCTTGCCTTCAGGTGCTTTGAAGAATAGGTTGAATGTAAAATGTAAAATTTGTTACTACCGGTTCTGTGGGGGTGGCTTGGTGGAGGGGGGAGTGTAATGTGACTGGGTGGGCGTGGCCAATTTTTTTTTTACTTTTAAAAGCATTTTTTCTACAATCTCTTTAGCCAAAGAGATTGTAAAAAATGCTTTTAAAAGGCTCTGACGATCACAGCTGAGTTGCGCAATCATCAGAGACTTTTTTTTTTTTTTTACTTTTAAAAGCATTTTTTCATGGCAGGAGCTTTATACATCCCAGTCAAATGGTTTTCCCATCTCTTTTTGTAAACCTCCAGTGATGGAACACCTGGAACTCCAGAAGGCAAGCTATTCCATTGATTAATTGCTCTCACTGTCAAAAAATTTGTTCTTTCTTCTATGTAGAACCTCTCTTTAACAAGCTTCCACCATTATTTCTTGCTCTGCCCTATGATGCCTTACAGAATAAATTAATCCCCTCTTCTTTGTGACAGCACTTCAAGTACTGGAATATAGTTAGCTCTGTCCTGATCCTTTTCTTCGATAAGATAGACATAGAGCTTTCTCAACCATTACATAATTTAGCCTCCAGACCTTTTATCATGTTTGTTGCTCTTCTCTACACACTTTCCAGGATCTCTTTTTTTGTATCATGGTGACCAGAACTAGATGCAATGTTCCAAGTATGGTGTATTACTTCTCATGTCTTAACACTATCACTCTGTTGATGCATCCTGGCAGTTGCAGCACATTGCTGGCTCATAATTAAGTGGTGCTCCACTAGAGCACCTAAATCCCTGTCACAGTTACTATTGTTAAGCCAGGGACTGCTTATTCTATACCTACACATTTGATTTTTCTTTTCTCTTTTTTCCATGTTTTATTAATTTTATTTATATTCAATCCAGTTTTCATCAAACAGTGTTTGGTCTGAGTACAGTAAGTTTTCATCAGTCATAATATTCATTTTTGTTATAGCATTCATCACAATAATAGCAGTAGTACAATAACATAGTAATATAATCACAATGATACTTAACATCCTCCTCTTTAACAATTCTCCTCATTAGGATTCCCTCTTTTAATTTCTCTTCCTTTCTAACTTCTATCTTTCTTATCTAACCATCAGACCTCTATAAAATCAAGTTTATCCCATTTCAAAGAACAACAAAAAGCATAAGAAAAAAGAAAACTAAATAAAATAAAAAGACGGGGAGATGGGAGAGAAAAACCGCTCAAAGTAACACCAGGGAAAGGGAAATCATCCCTTCATCATTTCTTGCCTGCTTCAGCCTTATTGTTGCTATGCTTTAAATAGAAAAGGGAGGGGAGGAAAGCAAAACCAAACACCGCTAAAGAATAGAAAAAGAACATCTAACCATTGTCTATTGCCTGCCTCAGTGTTTTATTTGCTATGCTTTTTTTTGGCCTGCCTCCCATATTCCTCCCTTACATCTCTGATTCTATATCTATTTCCTGAATATTTGATCTAACTATTGCTCCCCTCTCCACCCTCTTCAACTGCCTGGTTTCAAAGCTTCCTATCCCTGCCCCTTTCTTCCTTTCCAAGATATCATCCAACCCTCTCAATATATTTCTCCCCAAGTTTTCTTCATCCATCGCTATTATTTTCGTTATTATCTCCTCTTTTTCTTCTTCCTCATTCTTCTTCTTTTTGTTGGTTCCTTCCTTTCCTCTATTGTTTCCTCATTTTCCAACAGAATTTGATCTTCGCTTAATTAGTCCTTGTATGGAGTTTTCTATTTTTTCCATAGCCTCTTTAAATCCTCTTTCCATCCTGTCCATTGCTATTTGAAAAAGTAAATCCAATTCCTTTACTATTCCAGTCATTTTTTATGAATCTCCAGGGAGAAGATGTTAAAAATTGAGGTATAAAGTTCTTTTTTTATCTTTTAACAGTCTCTATTATTCTCCAGTTCCAAATACTCATTTGTACATCTGTGTCCTATCAAAAAACTGCAGTGCTTACAGCTTATACTCTTTCCACTTTCCACTGTGTTTTCCTCAGTAAACAAGTCCCAGATGCAGACAGCTTATCTAAGTCTTTAAAAAAGTCTTACAGCACTGTTTATGCTATCCAATGTCATAATCAAGTTTCGTTTTTCCACTTTCTTTCACTTTCCCTCTGAGTTTTACTTTGGCCAGGAGATGTCACTGTTGCACTGTTTTTCTTCTATTCCTTTCCCTTGGCTTGCTTTGTCTGGTAGTCTCCCCCCCCCCCTTTTTTTTTTTTTTTCCTTTACGATTCCGGAGCCAACTAAAGTTTATAAAATAAAGTTTATAAAATAAAGTTTATAAAATCCTTAGATGACCAATCCGTTTTCCTCCTTTTAACATTTTAATGTCCAATTAATCAAAACAATCAACACTCCTTATTTCGGATCTCTTTCTGCTCTGAGCTTATGCACCACTGATTTAGGGGGTAGAGGTTTGACAGAGCCACCCCCTCCTTTTTCAGCCCCACTGTTAGTCAGTCTTTTTAGAAAGGGGCATTTCTGACAGAAGCTAAAATATTAAAATTTCTCACCCAGCCAACACACTGTTCTTTCTCTATTTTCAGTCTTTCTTCATTCTCTTCTTTGGAGCTGCCACAGCCTTGAACGGCACAATGTCCATCTTTTTCTCTTTGCCGAATTGAGAGCTTTCCCTGGTCCAAACAAGGAGGTTAGCGAACTCCTTGTGAACAACAGGGCATTTTTCTCTTCACCATCTCTTCAGGATGGCTTAGATCCGTTTGGATCCTCTGGCATAAGGAATTCGGCGAACTTCCATAGAGCTTATGGAAGACTCGTCCGTTCCGCTCCAATGTCAGCTCCTCCCTCACATTTGATTTTTCTTGCCTAAGCACAGGACCTTACTTTTCTCACCACTGAACTGCATCTTATTGGATAGGGCCCAGTGTTCAAACCAAGATTGTTCTGGGTCTTGAGCCTATCTTCTAAAATGGGTGTCAAACTCAATTTCATTGAGGGCCGCATCAGGGTGGATGTTGCTAGCTCGACATAACTAGTCTCAGGGGCACCAGTGGCGGCCCGGCTGGGGCTGGGGGGATTAATTGTCTCCAGTAGAGGAAGGCGCTCCAGGGAGAGCGCCAAACCCTTGTTCTCCAAAGGAGCCTTGCCATCTACTGGTGGCCAAGTGCTAAGGCAGGACTTCCCTCCCTCCCTCCCTTCTCCTTCCCTCTTTATTCTCCTTTCTTCTTCCTTTCCCTCTATCCTTCTTTTTCCTTCCTTGCTCTTTTCTCATCTTTCCTTCTTTTTCTTTTTCTTTCTTCTTTCCCTTTCTCCTTTCCTGTCCCTTCTTGGATGCTCAAATGGAAAAGGGGAAATATTTCTCCTTTTGTTTTATTTTGCTTTCAGTTTGTTTTGCTAGCCCGCTACCAGCAAAACGGAACCCAGGGGCCCTAGGCCCCATTTTCAGCCTGGATGGCCTCCTGAAGCCCTCTGCCAGCCCTGATTTTGGCTTAGATGACCTCCTGAACCCCTTGGCCCCCATGGGCTCCATTTTCACTGATAGAGGGCTGCAGGAGGCCATCCAGGCCAAAAACAGAGCCTGGGAGGACCATGCGCAGCCCTCCCAAGCTCCATTTTCGCTGGCAGAGGCACCACGGGTCAGTCCTTCGCCATTTCCATGGCTGCCCGTGGGCCAGAATTATGCACCCCACAGGCCAGATGTGGCCAATGGACCTTGAGTTTGACACCTCTGGCAATTCCTTCCAGCTTCGTGTCATCTGCAAATTTTATGAGTTCCCCTTCTATCCCATCATTCTAGATCATGTATGAAGATGTTGAAGAGTACTGGACCTAAGACAGAATCTTAAGATACCCCACTTCATATTTCATCCCATGTCAATGTAGTTTCATTGAAGATTACCTGCTGAGTGTGGTTGGTCAGTCAATTGAGAATCCATCTGGTGGTGGAGTCATCTCCTTCTTTTTTCCAAGCTTCAGTAACTAGGAAAAGAATCATGGTTGTCACTAGATCAAGAAAAGCAAGGGTTTAATTCTTAACAGGTATCAAAGTATTTTAACATAGTGGAAAAATTAGGAGAGAGCCTCTATTTTGGCAACCTTTTTTCAAAAAATTTTCCCACTCTGCAGTGAAACTTCAAAATAGTTTTCACTGACATCAATAGGAGCTGTTTTATGTTTCATTATAGTGAAGGAGTATTCACTCTTGATGTGTTTTTAGTGTGATTCCAGGCATTGCAAACAACACACATACTACATGGATGTGCTTTGCCCACTTTGGGCTTTACTGCTATCCCTTCCTGGTATATAACACCAACATACTAATCCAAGCCAAATAAGTCTTCAAGATGAAATACATTTCTTACGTTGCTTAAATTGTGGATAATGTACATGAAATATTTCAATACCCATGCAAATATGTCTATAATGTAAACTACATATGTAAGTCATACATAAGAGAATGTTTTTACATACTTATATTACATACATATAGAGAAAAATAAACCTATATGTGAATGAACAATTTGGCCAATATATTATATTTATTTAGTTGCCAAATATATATAGTCATCCATATCATGTGTTTTGGTTTGATTCCCAGCACAAACCCTACCAATAACAACAATAAGTTGTTAAGAGGGTCCATGTTTATATATAATGCTTACACTACTGTCATCCTCAGGCACACACATAGTTACCAAGTTTTCACAACAAACCAAGACAACCCTTTTGGGAACCAGCTTCTTGCAGCTGCATAGAAATGTTTCCTCCTGCTTCTTCTTAGATATCAAGATTCTGTGCAAGTGTTGAGTTGCCTAGAAGATCTCACCTTTCGAGATGACAATATTATTGGACAGTCACTCTTCATTTCGGGGTGTCTGAACATTATACTTTATGCTGGTAAATCCAGAGTCCTTTAAACAGTATCTAAAATGCATGTTTCAATTAAGAAAAACAAATTAAAAACAATTATATCTACCTTTCAACAAAATGTTGTCAAGGCAGTGGGTGTATCTGTACAATAATTAAAAGACAAACAATAGAAGAGCATTTTTAAATCTGAAAAGAAATAATCTGTGAAAAGACCAGTCTTATCTCGCAGAATGATGGCTATAGATATTTACTCAGAATTAAACAGTACTGATTTCAGTGGGCTTACTTAAAGAGAGAATGTAGAATTGAGGTTGTGCTCCAAAACAGATTGTTCTAGGATCAGAACCCAGGAGATTCCATGAAGTGGGCTGCTTCACGAAACCCTAACAATTACTACTTGGGGGGCTGTCTTTGTGCTCTATCAATCTGCTCTAATTTCTGAACTCTCTTGTTCAGAGTTCTAAAAAATTTTAAAGTCTACATAATCACTTATACCATCACTAAATTTAAATGTAATTTTCGTTATTAAATATTCCACATAACCCTAGAAGGTAGATCACTATCAATGTTAACATTAACATATAATCAGAAAAAAAATCTGTTAAGGAACCCAAATTGTAATTTGTTAGCCTTCACAGCCACCTGCTAACCAGTTCCACCCAATAGTCAGTAATGTGACCAAGTCTTGGTCATGTCCATATAATCCATATATACCAGGAGTTGAGATTGACTTGAAGAAAGCTTTACTTCTTAGACACAGGATAAGCTTAGGAAATATAATTTCAGGTTAGGTATCACCTGAATATGTAACTTTAATAGTAAGGTTATATATTATTTTAATATTAAGGACTTTGTGCAAATATAGAAAGGTCAAAAAAGTTCATTTTAACATTAACAAATTAGCCAACATGATTACCATCAGAAATATTTTGAAAATAAAAAGACACTAGTATGAGATACTAACAGTCATCCTTGCAGAACTTCTCTCTTTTGACACTCAAGGCAAATTAGAGTCTCTTGCAGTATTTTCACCCCGTGGCATGACTTGATCCAGGAGCAGAAAGCAAGACAAAAAGATCCACATATCAGAGAAGAAAAGCTTTATTAATCAGATCCAAATATTTTGACAGATATTTTTCAAGAGCAAATCTTGAAAACTTGTCAGGCCTCATTAATAATTTTTTTTTTTCACAAAACATGGCATTTTTATCTCTTTCTCTTTTTTGATCTTTGACTTTTCATGTCTGGCCTACTCTTGTTGTTATACCTCTGTATGCCCAGAGATATTAAGCTATTGCCAAATAGGCATTGCAGATCTGCTGATATTTGCTATGCATACAGTATTACTAGATTCCATGAACAATATAGTTGTTCCACTGAATTTTTCTTCAAATGATGCAACTGTTAATAATATTGATATATGTTATCTTCTATGTGCTATTGAACATTTGTAGATATTCAGCTTTGACTGGAATCATACCCAGCGATACATGCTTAATGATACTTTTTTCCCCCTTCCCCCCAGGATTTTGTTTTAAGCCATTTAAGTACTGCCAGGATTTTATTCTCGCTAATGAAACAAACTGCATCCTCATGTCTCAGAACAACATCATGTTGAGTTTGTATTCTTCTCTGGCAATTTGGTAACTTTAATTTTTTGTAATGCTATTATATGACATGATAGTTCTTCCTTTTTATGTTGTAAGATAGAAATTTATAGTTGATCCATGGCTTACTGGAACTCAGTGTTACTGTTGGAGGCTGCACTGTTCTCTATGGATATATGTATCTGAATCTTCCTCTGACCTGACTAATGATTATTGAAACATATTTTAAACTATAACAGAAATGGGATTTTCTGTGAAAGAGTCGTAAAGGGTTGATATAGAAAGGAAATTAATTCTCTGCCTATACCCCACTTATTTCTTGTGGTTAAGTCACGAGGAGCCAAAGAATTAATTACACACTTCCAATCTACTAGACACTGTTGCATACCAAATTAATTAATTCTTGTCATCTGATAGTAAATTGTTTAACTTAATTTAATTAAATGAATAATTGGGTCAGCTAGAACTTTTTGTACTGTATGACAAAAAAACCCTGTAATGGATTTCCAGGGACTAATGTTACCAATGTATAGTATAATTCTAACTCTGAATCTTATAAACCATATTCCTATCAACTTCCATCATCCATTTCTCTTTTTGCAACATTAGTTTGTTTTTTGAGAAAATAAGTACATTTCTAAACTATGAAAGGAGTGGAGAGTATAAAGATATATATTTTTGGCCTTGATGTCCTTTCATTCTGAAAACTCATGTTTCTATATACCTCATTAGGAAAGGGTTGACTCTCCTTCTACCTAACGTGTGAGTTTATCATTTAGGTTTGCCAGACTTCAGCAATGGGATAAATTCATAATACCATTTGAAAAAGCAAGGCGGTTGGTGAGGAGAACATGTGCTTCACTCTGTTCTAACCATGGATTCTGTAAGTTGGTAGAGTGTGAGATTCTGTTGTTAAGAAAATATATAGAAGAGAGGCCTGACAAAGTCCGTGAGATGCATAACAGGATAACAAAGGTGAGGAATTCAGAGATGGGTATGCAGAAATTTATTTACTTATTTAGCAATTTCTTGCAAGCACAAACAGTGGACTGTCAAATCAGTCCTCTGATATTTTCATAATCAGTTTATAATTTCATCTAAAATCTTTTTTGTTTTACTTTAGCAGATATTAAATGATAAGCATTATTATTTTAACAGCAACAAGAAGTTTGGCTTATGATAACTAAAAAAATATTTCTAATGCTGCTTCTAAAACCCACAAAATTGGATTTTAATATATATCTATTATGATCCTTACCATATAAGCTATTTTAGCCTTTATGGCAACAATAGTTCTACAATCTAAGGAAGGAATTGGAATGGTTTGTGATCCTGCTAATTTATTTACTTGGCTCTCCTATTTCTATAGTGCTAGAATCCAAATTATGATAATATCTAAAAAAATTCAGGTATATCTGAATCAAAAGATTGGGAAAGCTCTTCCTATTGGACATCTGCTGGAATAAAGACTTTATAGTTCAAAGGTAATTCTAAGGTGAATAGGGGACAAGGGTTTTGATTTATTTCCTGAAAATAATAATAAACTTCTCCTTGCTGTCTGTATCTTCTATTTCATTTTAGAACATAAGAATAGCAGAGTTGGAATGGACTTTAGAGGTCTTCTAGTCCAACCTCCTACTCATTCTTGACAAATGATTGTCATTCTCTTCTTGAAAATCTCCAGTAATGGAGCACCCAGAAGTTCTCGAGGTTTAATTTTTCTCACTCTCAGGAAATTTCTTTTTAATTCTAGCTTGGATCTCTCTTTAATAATCTTCTATCCATTACTCCTTGTCCTGTCCCTAGGTACTTTGGAGAATACCTTGACCTCTTCTTCTATGTGATACTTTCGCAAGTATGGAAAGATACCTATCATGTCACCCCTAATCCTTTTTGCTAGACAAGACTTACCTATTTCCCTAACCATTCATTATCCTCCAGACTCATTTCATTTCATTTTTTACATTTTATTTGATTTATATACCGCCCTACTCCCGAAGGACTCAGGGCGGTGAACAGGCACAAGATAAAACACATAGAATACAAAAATTTAAGAGCAGAAGTAAAATCGAATTAAATCAATTTAGCCCAAGACAAATTTAAAACCCCAATTAAGAACAAATTAAAATTTACATTAAAAAGAGAATGGAAGACGTTAGGCCAGACCAGCCTGGTGAAATAAAAAGGTCTTGAGAGCGCGGCGGAAGGTGCGTAGATCCGGGATCCTCCGTATCTCTGGGGGGAGCTCGTTCCAGATAGTAGATGCCCCCACAGAGAAGGCTCTCCCCCTGGGGGCCGCCAGGCAACATTGTTTGGCCGACAGCACACGGAGGAGTCCCTCTCTGTGAGAGCGTACCGGCCAGTGGGAGGCCGTTTGCGTAAATAACCAGGCCCTAAGCCATGGAGCGCTCGAAAGGTGGTAACCAAAACCTTGAAGTGCACTCAGAAGACCACCGGGAGCCAGTGCATCTCGCGCAGGAGAGGTGTTACATGGGAGCGCCACGTCGCTCCCATAACCACCTGCGCAGCCGAGCTCTGCGCCAGTTGGAGCCTCCGGGTGCTCCTCCTAATTCTTCCTCTTCTCTGCATTCTTTTTAGAATCTCAACATCTTTTCTCTATCATAGTGACCAGACCTGGATGCAGTATTCCAAGTATGGTCTTATCAGTGCAGTATAAAGCTGTACTAATATTTCATGTGATCTTGATACTATCCCTCTGTTGATACATCTTAGGACTGCATTGTTTTGGGGTTGGTTTTTTTTGGCAACGCTGGCTCATACTTATGTGGTTGTCCACTAGTTCACCTAAGTCCCTCTCACAATTACTGCTACTGAGCCATGAACATGCATTTGTTTTGTCTTGCCTAAGTGTAAGGCTTTACTTTTCCCATCACTGAATTGCATTTTGTCAGATAAGGGTGTGTTCATGTCCTTCTGGATCTTGAGCCTATCATCTGAACCCACTCTTATCCAACAAAATGCAATTCATCAAACATATTTTTTATATTGTGGTAATCAGAAGTGGATGCAGTCTTTTAAGTGTGGTTTTGCTAAGGATTTGTAAATCATTTCTAGAACTTCACATAATCTTGGTCCTACCCCTCTATTAATGCAGCCTAAGATTGCATTGGCTTTTTTGGCTGCCGCCGCACACTGTTGACTTATGTAAGTGATTGTCCACTACGACTTCAAGATCTCTCTCACAGTTACTGGCATTAAGCCAAGTTTCACCTAGCCTGTAGCTATAAAGTTGGGTTTTCTTGCCTAACTGTAAAACCTTACTTTTATTTATGTTTAATTTCATTTTGTTAGATAGGGCCCAATGTTCAAGTCTGCCAAGATCATTTTTGGATCTTGAACTTGTCTTCTGGGGTGTTGGCTATTCCTGCCAGTTTAGTGTCATCTGCAAATTTGATGAGTTCCCCTTCTATTTCCTCGTCTAGATCATTTATGAAGATATTGAAGAATACTAGGCCTAAAACGGAACCTTGGGGTACCCCATTACTTACTTCTCTTCACGTGGACGTAGTTCCATTGAGGACTACAGGTTGAGTATGATTTGCCAGCTAGTATGAATCCATCTGGTGGTGATGCTATCTAACCCACATTTTTCTAGCTTGCTAAGTAGGTGGTTATCTATTTCATCAAATGCTTTACAGAAAACTAAGTACACCATATCCAGAGCATTTTGCTGATCCACTAATTTACTTACTAATTCACTTTGTTGAGGAATGCAATAAAATTTGTTTGGCATGATCTGGTTTTGACAAACCATGTTGGCTACTTGTTATAATTTTGTTTGCTTCTAGGTGTTCACAGATTTGTTGCTTGATTATCTTTTCCAAGATCTTTCAAGATGATTGGTCTGTAATTTCCTGGATCTGTTTTTTTTTTTTACCTTTTTTGAAGATGGGAACCACATCAGCTCTTTCCCAGTTCTCTGATAGTTCCTTGGTGCTCCAAGAACTTTGAAAGATATATTTCAATGGTTCTGAAATCATGTCTGCTAGTTTCATCAGAACTTGGGATGTAGTCTATCGGGACACGATGATTTGAATCCATCTAGAGCAGACAAGTGTTCTCTTACCTTATTTTTGCATATTTTCATTTGCATTCCTGTCATTTACAGTTCTGTTTTTAGTAAGTTGAGTTGTGTTTTCTTTTTGTATGAAGACAGATGCAAAGTATGAATTAAGTCATTCTGCTTTCTCTCTATTGCCTGTTACTTTTTTGCCATCTTCTTCCATTAGTGGACCAATTATTTCTTTGAATTTTTTTCTTGTTTTTTCTGTGTTGAAAGAAACTTTTTTTTATTGTTTTTGACATACGTTGCAAGTCTTACTTCATTCAAAGCTTAGCTTTCCTAACTTCATCTTTGCAGGTTCAGGCTATTTGTTGGTATTCTGCCATGTTGATATTCTGTCCCTCTTTCCATTTTTTTTGTACTGATCCTCTCTCTCAGTTGATCTGAGAGCTCTTTGTGCAACCATCCTGGCTTTTTCTTGAATTTCTTCTTTTTCTTTTTCAGTGATATTGTGCTATACTGGGCTTTTATAATCATATTTTGCAGTTTCTCAAGCTTCTTGAGTTGATTTCCCCTTTAAGATTTTCATTCATTGAATCCTTCCCAAGTTCTCTCTGAGTTTGTAAAAATCAGTTCTTTAACATCTAAGCCATTGGTTTTATTATGTTCTGTTGCTTGTGTCTGTTTTATACTAAATTCTAATATGACATGGTCATCTCCCCTAAAATTCCTGCAACTTTAATTCCTTCTATCACATCTTCTCTCTTGGTAAGAATAAGATCCAGTACAGCTATCCCTCTAGTTGCCTCTTCTACCTTTTGGGTGATGAAGTTGTCAGCTAGGTCAGGAATTTGTTCAATCTCCCACTTGATGCAGAGTTTGTCTCCCAGTTGATGTCAGTATAGTTAAAGTCTCCCATTACTATTGCGGTGTGTTTTCTACATACATTGGTTAACTGATTAGTGAAACATTTATCTATTTCTTCTGCTCTGTTACGTGGCCTGTAGTATACACTTATGGCAATGTCATTCTTTTTTCCTTATGCATTCTGTGCATCTAAACATCATTTAAGGTACTGGGCCTAAGAGAGAACATTGAAGTACCCCACTTCATGCTTCCCTCCATTTAGATGTAGTACCATGGAGGATTATATGTTGAGAGTGGTTTGTCACCCAATTGCAAATCCATTTGGTAGTGATGTCTATCCCACATTTTTCTATCTTATCAAGAAGTAGGCTGTGGTCTACTTGGTCAAATGCCTTACTGAAGTTTAAGTAAATAATGTCCAGAGTATTTCCTATTTCCATTAATTTAGTCACTTTGTCAAAGAATGCAATATCATGATCTTTTAACAAACCCATGTTGATTTTTAGTAATAGCTTTGCTTGTTTCTAGATGTTTGTAGATCCATTGCTTGATTCCTTTTCCAGCATTTTCCCAAGTGCAGCCAGATAGTCTGTAGTTTCTTGGATTCATTTTTCTATTTTTGAAGATTGGAACCAGAACAACTCCAGTCTGCTGGTGATTCCCCCGTGCTCCAGGAGCTTTGAAAGATTTAGTTCAGTGGTTCTGAGATCACGTCTGCCAGCTCCTTTAGAACCCTGGTATACAATCTAACTTGGCCTGGTGATTTGAATTTGTCTACTGTGGATAGGTGTTCTCTTACCATTTTCTTGCCTTTCTTGATTTGCATTCTTATTCTGTCTTTTGATTGGTTGGTCTGTTTTTTCCTTTTGTATAAAATATTCTTTGCACAAAAAAATGAATTTTTAAGTAGTTCCACTTTCTTCTTCTTATCCATTACCTTCTTGTCTTCTTTTTCCATTAGTGGAATGATTGTTTCCTTGACTTTTTTCTTATTTTTCAATTCAGTGATGTGTCTGTCTTTCCTTTTAAAAAATATTTGCCCTTTTTATCTCTCAATTTATCAGAGAGATATTTATGCAACTATAATTTTTATGACTTAGTTTTCTACATCTGAAGTATAACTTCATAATTCACAGCCATCATTAACTCTATCATTGCTGTGATTTTTTGAGTAAATTATGATCAGTCAAACAACAGTTTAAAGTGTTGTGCAAGTTAAATGAGACTTCCAATGCATGGTTTTACACATGTTCTGTATTCCAGCATTCAACAGCCTCAGTTACCATGGCCAGTGATGAAGAATGCTAGCTAATGTAGTTCACAAATCTTTGGAGAGACATAAATGGTGCATTTTCATTCCAAGATCACATAACAACTCAGGGTTTCCTTTAACCCTGACACAATGATGCTCTGCAAATCATTCTTAAATAATATCCTCATTATATTGTCTATATCTGGTCCCCAGCCCCAAACGAAGGCAGCTTATATCTGGTATTCCACTTTTCAAAATAGTATTTTGCCCTTTCCCAACACATTTTTTTTTCCTGTGGGCATGATCTAGGACACTTCCTTGACAATATGATTATGATTTGATCAAGGGCCAGATCTGCCCAATTATTTATTATTGTTATTTGCCCATCTAAAACCACAATTCCTCAGCAGATCATAAAAACAATAAAACTGAAACCTGTACAAGTAATAAAACCATCAACCTTGGGATGTTTCACAACAAATCAAAATGAAGTCCAGTAAGTGCTGATTTGCAATCTCTGTAATTTGTGGATCTGAATTTGCCTCTCCTGAGATAACAAGGCTAGATATGTCTCAATAACTTCCAAAGAATCTGTCCAGCCAGAGTCCAACTTCAAGCAAGGCCAAGGAATTTTATCTGACATATATATTCCTTGCTGAATATATTCCTTACAGTGGCCCTGCAAGGGCTTTCCCGGCTCCTCCTTATGCAAAAGGGACCTGGTCACCTGAAACAGAGTTACTAGGCAGCTATCTGCCAATACAGTAGGGTAGAGAAGTAAGTATGCTTCACTGCCCTTATTGTCACAAGGTAAATCCTAATACAGGCTCTGACCTTTGCATGGGTGACTTCATTGTCTGCTTCAGACTGCAAGAGGCACAATCATCTCTACTCATGTTGCTGAGTGCTGCCATCTATGGCTATTTTGGCTTGGGCTGCAGGAGGGTCAGGCACCTAGCTTCTGCAGAAATGTGTCCTTGAGTAATGCCTGATTTGCATTGGTTTAATTCTTTTGAAAGAGTCATAGAATAACAGAATTGCAAGAGACTGTGGAGATCTTCTAGTCCAACCCCCCGCTCAATCAAGAAACCCTATACTATTCTGGACAAATTGTTGTCCAATCCTGTATTTAAATCCTCCAGTAATTTCCATGTCCACCACAACTTCTGCAGGCAAGCAGTTTCACTGATTAATTGTTCTCACTATCAGGAAGTTTCTTCTTAATTCTAGCTTGGATTTCTCTTTAATAATCTTCCATTCATTATTTCTTGTCAGGCTCTCAGGTACTTTGGAGAATTTGTCCTCCTTATTGTCCACTTTATTGACCAGAAACTCACTCTACCAACCCTAATTTAAAGCATTTTCAGCACTAAACATCTAGACAGGTCTTCTTCCAAAGTGGATGTTGGATTAGATAAGAGTATATATCAATATTGTGTTTTCTACCATGTTTTCCCAAAAATAAGACAGGGTCTTATTTTGTTTTGAACCCCAAAATAAGGGCTTGGCCTTATTATCGGGAGGTCTTATTATTTCGGGGGTACAGGAGGCCCAGGGTGGCCTGCGCACTCACAGCCGGGAGTCCAGCAAGGAGAGGCTCCCTTCGCACGCTGCCATCAAGCCCCTCCCCTCCCGCGGGGTGTGTGTGTAGAACGCGAGTGGGCTGAAGGCACCAAGCCGTGTGAGTGCCTGTCCCCACCCCCCACTCGCATGCCTCCCAGGTCTCACCACGTCGATGTGGGCGAAGACAATGAGCACCAGATCCTTGAGGAGCTCGTAGCCAATGCCGCCAGTGCCCACCACCAGCACCTGCACAGAAGCCACGGCCTGGGCCAACTCTCCCTGCAGGGTCCAGCTCCAGCTCCAGCTGTCACCATAGAGTGGGAAGCACACTCCCAGAGCGGCGGCTGCCCTGGCTGGGGTTTAGAAGCCGCAGAGGCAGAGTTTGGGGGAGAGAAAGAAAGACTTCTGCTGCTTCCGCTGCTTTCCTTGCATGCAGCCAAAAGCAGAAGCAGCAGAAGTCTTTCTTTCTCTCCCCCAAACTCTACCTCTGCAGCTTCCAAACCCCAGCCAGTGCAGCCGCTGTTCTAGGAGTGTGCTTCCCACTATATGGTGACAGTTGTCGGAGGCCTCCCCTTCCCCCATGTTCCTCTCTGCTCCAGTTGCCCCACGGTCCCCCTGAGTGCTGACCAACTGGAGTGCCTGCCGGTGAGCCCGGGAAGCCCCTCCACCTCAGGAGTCACCAGACTGGATGGTGACCAGGCCAGACTCTTCCTGGGAAAGGGAGCCTTGTGGGAGTCTTGTCCACCCTCCCTTCCTCCTGCAGGACCCACTTACTCTTTCCAGGTGCCCGGCAGCGAGACACCAGGCAGCCACGCCGAGGGCAGCCCTGACAGACACAGCTCGGCCAGCCCAGCCATGGCCAATGCTCCTTACCCACGGCTAAGCTTGGCCATAGGGGGCCTTTGGGCCTCCGCAGGCAGCAGCAACACCTGCAGTGCCTCAGCCATCCCTGCCAAGAGACCCGCGCCCAGCTGCGGGACTTGCCAGGTCTGCTGTTGTAGTCCTCCGTGACTGTCTGCCATGCATGGAGGCCTCTCTGCCGCCAGTGGTCGCCCTGCCAAGGAAGCCTCGAGACGGCAATGCCTGCGCTGGGGCTGCTGTGGCGGGCGCTCAATAACACAAGCTATGTGGACGTGGCACCTGGGCACAGAGGAGAGCGGGTGGGCCGCCCCCATAGTGCAATAGCAGGCGCTCGAGATCTACAGTCGGTGCCGTGGGCGGCAGAAGGGGCGGGGGCACAGGAGTTCACAGGGATGTGGCTGCCTTGGGAGGGTTGAGGAGGGCGAGGGACCTGTGTGTGTGTGAGAGAGAGAGACAGATGGGGGAAGCTTATTTTCAGGGGAGGGTATATATTAAGACAGTAATTATTTTGTTTCTCCTTATGATTTTTTCTTCAGAAATTATCTTTATGCCTCTGGTTACATACCCAACACTCTCACATGACTATTCATTGTTTTTAATAGAATTTGGATCAGATAATGAATCAGTGTTCTATAAGCCCAGTGTACTATTCCAGGGTTTACCACCTGAAGGCCTATGTCCAGCTGATGCTTGGAAATGATGAACTCAGCCAAAGCTTTCTTGAGAAGGGATTCTACAGTAGTGATATCTATGGGAATCGTTTGGAGAGATCCTGGCTAGAGATTAGCAAGGTATTTCTTTAAAACTGATTACAAATCAGAGATCAATAGAACATTTTTATATAAACCTATCATTTACAATCTTTCAGAATATTAAATTTAAGGATCTAGTCTTATTTTTACATATATTTGTGTATGTGAATAGACATAGATAATTCATTTTTTAAAAAGAGGAAATTAGTCCTATTTAAAAACTTGATTGACAATTAGATTATATTTCAACTATGTACAGCAAAGTAGATATAATAGAATAGCAGGGTTGGAAGAGACCTTGGAGGTTTTAACAGATTAACAGAGTTGGAAAGGACCTTATAGGTCATCTAGTACAACCCCCTTGCTCAAGCAGGAGACCCTACATCATTTCTGACAAATGGCAGTCCAATCTTTTCTTGAAAGTCTCAAGTGATGAAGCTCCCACAACTTCTGAAGGCAAGCTGTTCCATTGGTTGATTGTTCTCACTGTCAGAAAGTTCCTCCTCATTTCTAGGTTGAATCTCTCCTTGGTCAGTTTCCATCCATTATTCCTGGTGCGGCCTTCAAGTGCTTTGGAAAATAGCTTGACCCCCTCCTCTCTGTGGCAGCCCCTCAAATATTGGAACATTGCTATCATGTCTCCCCTGGTCCTTTTCTTCACTAGACTAGCCATGCCCAGTTCCTGTAACTGTTCTTCATACTGTATGTTTTAGTCTCCAGTCCCCTAATCATCCTGGTTGCTTTCCCCTGCATTTTTTCTAGAGTCAACATCTTTTTTATAGTTGATGACCAAAACTGGATGGAGTACTCTAAGTGTGGTCTTACCAGGGCTTTATAGAGTGGTATTAGTACCTCACTTGATTATATCCCTCTGTTAATGCAATTTAGGATTGCATTGGCTTTTTTGGCTGCCGCTGCACACTGCTGGCTCATATTTAGCTGGTTGTCCACTAAGACTCCAAGATCCCTCTCACAGTCACTGCTATTAAGCCTGGTTTCCCCCAGTTTATATGTGTGCTTTTGGTTTTTCTTACCTAAGTGTAGGACTTTACTTTTTTCTACACTGAATTTCATTTTGTTAGATAGGGCCCAGTATTCAAATCTGTCAAGATCCATCTGGATCTTGAGCCTATCTTCTAGGGTGTTAGCTATTCCTGCCAGCTTAATATCATCTGAAAATGTGGTGAGTTCCCCTTCTATTCCCTCATCTATTTATGAAGATATTGAAGAGTACTGGGCCTAAGATGGAACTTTATGGCAAGCCACTGCTTACTTCTCTCCATGTAGACTTAGACCCATTAAGGACTACTCGTTGAGTACGGTTTATCAGCCAGTTGTGAATCCATCTGGTGGTGAAACTATCCCACTTTTTGTAGCTTATGAAGAAGTAGGTTGTGGTCTACTTTGTCGAATGCCTTGCTGAAGTCTAAGTATATTATGTCCACAGTATTTCGCTGGTCTATTAATTTAGTCACTATGTTGAAGAATGAAATAAGATTGGTTTGGCATGATCTGTTTTTAACAAATCTGTGCTGACTGCTAGTTATTACTTTTCTCATTTCTAGGTGTTGGCAGATCTGTTTTTTTTATTATCTTTACCGGTATCTTCCCAGGTATTGATGTTAGGCTGATTGGTCTGTAGTTTTCCAAGTCTGTTTTTTTCCCCCCTTTTTTGAAGATGGGAACCACATCAGCTTTTTTCCAGTCCTCTGGTAGTTCCTCGATGTTCCAGGATTTTGAAAGATGTGGTGCAATGGTTCTGAGATGACATTTGCCAGTTCCTTTAGAACTCTGGGATGTAATTCATAAGGTCCTGGTGATTTGTATTTGGGTTTTTTTTTTTTTGGAAGAGTTTGTATTCTTCTATCAGTATGTTCCAGTCATGGGTTTCATCCCACCAAGTTTCTGTTATTCTTACTATTTCATATCTATCTTCGTGTATTAATAGTTCAAGTTCACCCTGTTTGTTTCCCAGACCTTGTGCATTTGTATATAGGCACTTGAGATCTTTATGCCTGACTCTGGGTATGCGTCCAATGTCTCCTATTTGGTATTTGAGTTTGTCTTCCTTCCCATCTCTCCTTACTTCATTATTTGCCTTGCTTTCTATGGGTTTTTGCTTGGAATTAGGTCCTGGAGATCCTAAAGACTGGTCACCTCCCCCCTCAATTTTAGTTTAAAGTCCTGATAAATTGAGCCACTCATTTTCCGAAAACATTCTTCCCAGTCTGTGTGAGGTGCATCCCTTGCCAAAAGTCCATCTTGGAGGTAGTACAGATCATGGTCCAGGAATCCTAAGCTTTTTTGGCGACACCAACCCTTTAGCCAGTGGTTCACTTCTAGAGTAATTTGTTCTCTTGCTGGATGTTGTCCTTTCGTTGGCAGTACAAATGAAAAAAAAAAATTCTTGTGCACCTAAGTCCTTGACTTTCTTGCCTAGCTGCTCATAATCATTCAATATTGTTTTCAAGTTTTTTTGTGTGTGTCATTCGTCTGTACATAATAGTAGTAGAAAGGGGTAGTAGTCTTTTGGTTTTATTGTTTTGGTTAGGTTCTCAGCCACATCTTTGATTTTAGCTCCAGGGAGACAACATACTTCTCTGGATTGACTGGTCTTCAGATGGCAGGTTCTATTCCCCTGAGAATTGAATCTCCTATCACCAACCCTTGCCTTTTTTTTTTCCTAGGGAGGTTTAGGGTTTTTTCTATCTATCAGAAAAGCATTTGATGATGCTACTTTTTTAGGGGCATTTGATGGTACTTCTTTTCTATGTGTCTGCATGTTTTCTTCTAGTGAGAGTCCATGATATTGATTGCTTAGCACCAGTGGGGCTGCTTCAGAGCTTTGGTTTGGACAGGGGTTTTGTACTAGGTTTGTGTTTTTTTCTTTGAGTGACATGTTTCCACCTGTCTTTTTTCTCTAAGGAGTCAACTCTTTTAGAAGTTGTTTGCTCATTATTATGTTCAATTTGGGCATATTCTTTTTGCAAGGTTTGGGATTTCTCATTTTGTAGGTCGAGTTTCAGAGTGATTAGAGGTTCCTCTAGACAGATACAATAGGCAATGGATGAACAGATCAAACTCTTTTCGGTAAACATTAATGGCTTAAATGCCCCAAAGAAAAGGAATCAAATTTTCACAAAATTACGAAAATTAGAAGCAGATGTGATATGTGTGCAAGAAGTACACATTCAAAAAGATTATCAAAAAATCCTAGAAAACCCCAAATTAGGAAAACTATATTTATCTCTGGCCCAAAAAAAGAAAAAAGGAGTAGTGATTTACGTAAAAGATAAAATACAATCTAAACTAGTCTATACCGATGAGCAAGGTAGAGTGGTGATGGTTGAATTAGAAATAGGAAAGAGGAAAATGTTAATTGTAGGGATTTATGCACCTAACCAAAAACTACAGGTTTTTTTTAAAGACCTACATATAAAACTAGCAGAATTAGAATATGATGATATTTATGTAATAGGGGATTATAATGCAATAGTAAATGCAAAGAAAGACTACAAAACTGGGGGGAAAAAACAAAAGAAAAAAGAAATACTTCCAAAAGAATTCTTTAGTATGGCTGAAGAACTAAACTTGGCAGACGTATGGAGGGAAACACATGAAGAAGAGGCCCAATACACCTTTTACTCCCATCCGCATAACTCCTGGTCAAGACTGGACATGGCATGGATGACCCCAAATATCAAAATAGAAGTAGAAAAAATTGAGATAGGCACAAACCAATGGGCAGACCACAATCCACTATTTATAAATTGGAAAGGGGAAAGAAGACGTAAGAGATGGACAATGAACCTAAGATTATGTAAAGAAAAAGAATTTAATTTGATGTTAGAAAAGGAAGTAAAAATATTCTTCCAGATAAATAAAATAGAGGAAACCTCTTTACAAAACACCTGGGATACTTTAAAAGCATATATAAGGGGTCTAGTAATAGCATATATGAGGAAAAAGAATAAAGAGAAGAAAAAACAATTAGATAATTTAGAGAAAGACCTAAAACAAATAGAACAAAAACTCCAGGAAAAGCCCCAGAACAAAACAATAAGAGAAGAATGGGAAATGATTAAGCATAAATTGAATTTGATAAACCAAATAGAACTAGTCCAAAAAATAAAAATGGCGAAACAAAACTATTTCGAATACGCAAATAAAACGGGCAGATGGCTAGCCTATAAACTGAAAAAAGAACAGAAAAAAAGAATGATATACCAATTGAAAGATGATAAAGGAGAAATTCAACATAGTAAAGAGGCCAAAAAAGAAATTATTAAGAAATTTTATGCGAACCTATATAATCAGGGGAAAATAGAGGAAGACAAAATAAAACAGTACATAGGGAAATCAGGAATGCCAAAAATCACAGAAGAACAAAGAATCACTCTCAATAGGCCAATAACCAAAGTAGAACTAGATGAAGTACTGAAAAAGCAAAAAAACAATAAAACACCGGAACCCGACGGGCTACCGGTAGAAATATATAAAACAATGCAAGAAGTATTGGGAGAGAATATGTTGCGATTATATAATGAAGCTATGGAGAAAGCCAAAATACCAAATTCATGGACAGAAGCCATAATAACAATCATTCCAAAAGAAGACACAGATCTCCAGTTAATACAAAACTATAGACCTATTTCATTATTGAATGCCAACTACAAAATATTTGCAGCAATCTTGGCAGAAAGGATTAAATTAGTATTAAATACATATATACACCCAGACCAAAATGGATTTCTGCCGGGACGCCAAATAAAGAACAACATGAGAATAATACTTAATGCTTTAGAATATTATGAATCACACCCGGAGAAGCAGGTAGCGTTGGTTTTTCTTGACGCCCAAAAGGCCTTCGATAACCAAAATTGGAAATTTATGATTGAACAACTACAAAATATGCAAATTGGGGAAAATTTGGGAAAATTATAGCAGAAATCTATACCAAGCAATCAGCAAGGATAATTATGAATGATGACATAACAGACAAATTTAATATAACAAAAGGAGTCAGACAAGGCTGTCCA